TATCATTATTACTGTTACCTTCTATCTATTTATTTATTCCTTAATGGGCTGGCAAATTACAATGTTGACAGGTAGATTATGATAATCATTTGAAACATTTACAGGCTTGTGATGATTCTCATTAGAAATAATAATAATCTGTGTTCAGCTGATCCTCGCTAATTTTTGAAAATGATGAGTGGTGATTTACAAATAAATCATATATAAAGAAATAATTAATAATATGAACATGGGGATAATAATCACACAAATAATATTATAAACCATAGCAGTCATAGTAGTAGTAATAACAATAATAAAATTGATAATAACAATAACAATAAGAATAAAAGCAACAATAACAACAATGATAATAATAATCAAAACTTTAATTACCAATGTCATCATTATCATTAATAATTTCATTATTATCATTACAGCAATACTGTCTATAACAATGAAAAATATAAATCATTGTTATTACTGTCATTATTATTTTTATGACTACTGCTACTACTCATGGCTATAATAACAATAATTATGACAATAATGATAACAATGATAATAATAATAACAACAAAAATAGTAATAACAATAACAGGAAAAAAGATAATCATAATGATAACAATAATATTTGAAAATCATAATATGAAGAAATATTAGCAACAACATAATAACAGCAACAGCAATGGCTACAATAAAAACAATGATGATGTTGATGATATTAAAAACAACAATAACAATAATGACAGTAATAATAATAATTTTCAATAATATTATCATCAATAACAATGAAATTACAATAATGGCATTAATGAAAATATCAATAGTATAATGATAACAATAATAACATCAATAATAATAATAATAATAATAATAATAATAATAATAATAATAATAATAATAATAATAATAATAATAATAATAATAATAATAATAATAATAATAATAATAATAAATAATAATAATAATAATAATAATAATAATAATAATAATAATAATAATAATAACAATAATAATAACTAAGATAAAAGCAACAACAACAACAAAAATGATAATAGTAATATTGATAGTAATAACAGAAAATTGAATTGTGATAAATAACTTTTGTAACACAAATACTAAAAATAATCATAACAAAGTAATAATAACATATAGATAATAACAATGATACAATAATAATAACAATAATGAAAATATTTTTTAATTGATGAGTAATATTCATAAAAAGTAAAAGGTAACCTAGTAATAATGCAATAAATATATAATCATAAGAACCAAATCTCAAAAACATTACAATAAAAAACTTATACATATATGAAAATGCAGAATGTAAATATAATATCAAAACTAGCAAAAAATATACTATTACTACTACTTATGTGTTTAAACATATGCAATATATATATATATATATATATATATATATATATATATATATATATATATATATATATATATATATATATATATATATATATATATATATTACACACAAACATACACATACACACACACACACACACATAGATATATATGCATGTATTACATTGTTATTCATAGTTCATAATTTTTTTGCATGCTGTGTAGCAAGAGATGGATTTAAATATTAATAAATTCAATGTTAGTGTAAGTGAACACATAAATCATAAACTTTCACCTTCAACTAATCATGAAAAGAACTCAGGAAATGAGTGTCATTTGGACTACTGGAAGCAGGAACCATAAAATAAAATAAAAATCAAACATATTCTTCAAGAGAAAGAAAATTTCCCACTGCAGACTTAATAATCAAGAACAATACAAGAAGAACCTTATTTCCTAGAAAAGGTATACAAAACACTAAAAAAATAACAGAAGATTGTATAAGTAACAAGAAGAGAATCTATAAATTAAAGAAACATGTAATAAAACCCCAAATAATGTGCACGGGACACCGCGGAGCTCTACTGTCGCATAGGAACGGTATAATTCGATTTCTTTTTCCTCTTTCTAACACTTTGTCATCCATATTCCGACGCCTGTATGCCATCAGCGTAACCCGAGGACCATGAGCTATCCATGGTGCAACCTTGAATCGAATGCCGTTGCACAGGTAGGAAGATCTATTGATTCCCAGTCTTTAAAAGCGGGGAATAATAAAACAAAATGGCCGATGACGAGTCACAACTACCATCTCATTATCTCTTTCCTCATTATGGTTTCAACTTGGTTCCCCGAGATTTTCTGGTATGACATTCCTACGGTTCATACGCATCCGGGGCACATCACTAACCCGTGGAATGTATGATAATAAACGTAACTTTAATATGAATCCATTACCAGCTTCGCACTGATGTCAGTAGTAACTGCGTCCTTACCAGGCTAGCCAACCTTACCAATGCGACCAATGTTGGAAAATGATGCTTTATTTTATCATTAAGGTGTATTAATCCTATTTTCAGGTTGTATATGCACATAAATTATCGCTATTGGGTTGTTAGCTTTTAACTAATGCAATCGTAGCTATGCGTTTGATAATATTAATGGATGATATGGACGGTGATATTGGTAATAATGATAATATTGATAATGATAATAATAATAACAAAAATAAAGACAGATTATTATATGATGACAGGCATAGAGATAACAGATATAATGGAAGGAAATAATGTAGATAAGCTTACCATTAACATAAATGCAATAATCATATTCTTTTTATAGGTAATACGTTGTTTTTACTGATGCTATATCTGTTGTTACCAATGAATACAATTGTGATATTACTGCAAGCAATATTGACAAAAGAGTCATGTTAACCATCAAGACTTACTAATGTCACTGTTATCATTATCATCATAGTCATCGTCATCACCATCATCATCATTAGTATCATTAGTATTATTATTGTCATCATCATTATCAATATGACTACTACTACGCCTATTATCATTATCATTATCATTATTATTATTATCATTATCATTATTATTATTATTATTATTATTATTATTATTATTATTATTATTATTATTATCATTATTATTATTATTATTATTATTATTATTATTATTATTATTATTATTATTATTATTATTATTATTATTATTATTATTATTATTATTATCATTATCATCATTATTATTATCATTACCATTGTTATAATTATTATCTTTATTACACATATTGCTACGACTATTATTAATGTCAACATTATCATCATTATTGCTGTTATCGTTATTATTATTAATGTTATTCTAATTGTCATTATCAATATTATTACTACCATTATTATCATTGCTATGATTATTACTATCATTATCATTATTATTACTATTACCATCATCATCATTATTATCATTGTTTGAATCACTATCATTATTATTATCTTTATCATCATCATTACTGTAAAAATCACTATTGTTATCATTATTGTTACTGATACTACTACCATTATTTTCATCACCATTATCATAGTTATCATTATTTTCATTATCATTATTATTATAATTGTTATGATTGTTATTATTATCATTATCATTAATGATAATGTTAATATCATCATTATCATTATTACAATTATTATAGTTATCATTCTCATAATTATCTTTGCTTTTATCATTGTAATAATTGTTATTATCTTTATCAATATTATTATCTTCAAGATTATTATCATCAACATTATCATTTTTTGTTATTATCATTATCATCATTATCATTAGTAATGGTATTGTTATTGTCATTGATATTATCATTATTATCATTATCATCATTATCATTATTATTTACATTATTTCCATTATCCTTATTATTGTTATTAACAGTGTTATTATGGTATCTCTTTTTCATGATATTTTTTACTATTGTTTTCGTCGTTATTATCTTTATTCTTTACACACACACACACACACACACACACACACACACACACACACACACACACACACACACACACACACACACACACACACACACACACACACACACACACACACACACACACACATATATATATATATATATATATATATATATATATATATATATATATTATATATAATAAATTCATATAGACATACACACAAATCTCTCTCTCTCTAGGCGCGTGTGCGTGTGTGTATGTGTGTGGCAATGATAATGATTATGAAAATAAAGAGATAACCTAAAATGGTAACACACACACTCACACTAATGCACATATGTGTATGTATATATGTATGTATGTATATATATACATTTATATACAATATATATATATATATATATATATATACATATATACATACATACATACATACACACGCATGTGTGTGTGTGCGTGTGTGTGTATGTGCGCGCATTCCTAGAATATCTAATTTAGTATCCCATTAACACAGTGCCTTATTTTACCATTTTCTTTGATAATTTTACTTGGTAGACTGATGTAAGCCCTGTTACAATATATCGCACACTAAAATAAGGCACTTATAAAAGAGCATTGGATAAATATATCTTTTATAAAATGAATTGAAGCAAAGAAAGACAATGGGATTACTTAACGATATATCTATTTTATATGGCCACTCTCCTCTCCTCCCTAACCTAACCCAACCCAACCTACTGCTACCTAACCTACTTTACCATATATCAAAATAAATTTCATATCAATCTCGTTGCAAATGAATTTCCGCCATCGTTGATAACTGATTTCAAAACTAATTTTCACGACCGTTCTTCATCCAATTCCATTACGCGAACATTTAATTAGTAATAATAACTCGGATACTTCTAGAGACTTGTTTTGGAAATTCTGCGTTCCTCCCTCCGTGGGATGTTTTGCTTATATGTCTCTCATATTCTACTTGGTTTCGGTGGTTGTATGGTTGTATTAGAATCAGGATTAGTGTTCATGTCTACCCACTGCACTTAAATCACAATATCTAGCTTATTTACTTGCAAAGTCGAAATAAGGTTATTTCGACTGCTTGTTTTCTGTCCGTTTGTCCGAAGTGTACATTTATTATGTGTATCCTGTTCATGTATTTGCTCACTCTATTATGATTTTCAAATGTATCAACTATTTAATAGTCAAATGGTTTGTGTGAATGGTTTTAGCCAAATACACGCAATCACTATCAGGCTTTAGATAGGACGTAAAGGCGTTGGTACTATACAGTATACACAAACCAGGTTTATTGAAAGATGTTCTCCGTTTCGAAATCCTCTTGTGTTTTATTTTCAGGTTAGTCCAGATGTTCCTCTTCGCACACAGTTGAGGTTTTTCCCAAATTGTCCTTCATCAAAACATTAGCTCTCGAGGAAATAGATACTATGGACCAACCCTATATTATCAGCCGGTTTGTTAAAATTGTACCAGGTCCGACCCAATGAATTTTCATAAATACAAATGTAGAAATAAAGGCATATCTGTCTATATATCTGAGATATACACTTACCCATCTATTTGCCGGGTTAATATGCATATCTAGACCGCATGTCCGAATATTCTAGTTCTAACAAACCGGCCGTATAAATCTACTTCCCATTCTCAGACCCTATGGAGTGTGTGTCCTTGAGTCAGAAGGCTTTATCCTTCACCGGCAAACGAATGAGAACAAACATTTCGCTTAGCATTTGCCTCGTGACGCTGTGATCATAAAGCAAATTTACTTTCACGTCAGCGCAAAATATAATCTATACTAGCAACCCCAGATGACTTTACACACTCAGCATTGCAGAAGGAAAGACACTGTAGACGCCTCTGTGTCAACAACGGTCTTAACCTAACTTTGGGTTCTTTTAATGGTTATCCTCTGGGATATAGATTTTCTCGAGGTATAATAAACACAATATTCCACTTATATGATTATATTCATAATCATATTAAAAAAAATCACACAAAGATAATATAGTCGTGACAGGTTAACAAGATGGAAGACCCGTCATGAACAGAAGCAAAATGTCTGTGGGACGAAGAAATGAGGTGGCCGGGTCGAGTGTCAATCACCCGCGGTAAAATCCCTGGGTAGCACTGGTGGAGCGGGCTGCAGCTATCAACAGCAGTATAATTAGTCAGTTACACATGTCAAAGGGACTCAGGTCAAAATGGAGGAAGTGTTCAGGTGCAGAGCGCGGAACAGAGTGGGAAACCATAGAATGGCAACCACCGTCTATGTTTGACGTGGCTGTTTCGGTTGACTCGTTCGAACGGGTGGAGGCGAACCAAAAGGACACTCGTACTCCTCATACGCACACCACATACACACACATACGCACAACAAATATAGAGTGAAAGAACCATTATAATACTATAAACCATTGACACAGCCATGGTCCTTGGACTACCTGAGCCCTCCATTTTGGCTACGGTACATGTGCACTCCCCCGGGATAAGCCACGTGGCTCAGTTGGCCTCAGGACGTTTAGAACGATTTCATAACTGATTAATGATAATTGACAAATTTCGAAAGCCTGTTAACCTACCCAGTCTAAAGAAAGAAAAGAAAAAAAACAAACAAACATCGAAACCAACTGTTAACCCTTTTCGAAAATAATTTTCCACCGGTAACCGAAGACATGTAAACAGACACACTGACCTGCCGCCCACCTCTCACGCACGCTCATACGTGTAGGTAAGGTATGGATATTTTCTTAGAGCAAGAGGTTTGAATGACGCAGTTCGTTCAAGTCTTCGTATGAAAGTTACTTGAACTTTCTGCTTAAGATTTAATCAAACACTTTAATGTCTTCTCTTACCTTGAGAAATAATCCTTACTTATACCTATTCTACATCATTCCACAACCCTATCCATCCATTATCATACACAAACATACACACCTACACCTACACTGCACACACACACACACCACACACACACACACACAACACACACACACACACACACCACACACACACACACACACACACACACACCACACACATCACACACACACACACACACACACACACACACACACACTCCCCTCCCTCCTCAGGCACACAAACAAACGCACACACCCGCCAAAACGCGTACACGCAGACACACACGTGCACAATAATACGGCGCACAGACAGGAGAAGTTGAAGACAATGCCAAATGAAAGAGAGAAAGAGAACGAGAGAGAGAGGAGAGGAGAGCGAAAGTGAATGATGAAAACAGATGAAACATTCCGAGATCAAAAAAATCATTAACGTATAAAGCAGAGAATTGCCAAGTAAAGATCAGGCAAAATTGTGCCATGATATAAACGACGGCAACTTTGTGCCAAGAAGATATAAAGGGAACAAGGAAGGATCGAGGATAACGACGTAAAATGAGGGGAATAAAGAACGGATGACGGGCGGGATAAAGCTTATGTTGAGCAGAGAGAAAAGAGAGAGGTGCATATGTTAACAAATGTGTGG